GGGTGAGCAATTGCACTGGGTATCACTCATTTGCATATTTTGTTACTGTTATTATTATAATTACTATTTTAATATTAGTATAATTTTAAGTTTTCTTTTATTTCTATTATTAAACTGTTCTTATCTCAACCTATCCTTATCCTTGCCCTCCAATCCTCTCCCCTATCCCCTGGGGGTGGGGGGGCAGTGGGTGAATGACTGTGTTGGCTGCTGGCCAAGGGCTGGCCCAGTGGAACTATCACAGAGGCTTAATGCTTTCACTCGAGGCCTCCTAGATGGGAAGAAAGCTTAACACAAATCCCAGCTTTCAGCTAACAGGAAAAATTGGTGTGAACCAAACACAAACTGTATTTGGATCACTACTACAGAAGTGCACTATCACAACTTCTCCCAACAGCACAACAAACTCAGACTGAACAAGAGTAGTTATGGGAATTAAAGTCAGAACTTCCTATTTAAAAAGATACCACAATCTCCTGTGGATAACAACTCATTTAAGTAGCTAAGCATTTCCAGTACATCTAACACCTCGATATGCCAGTGACAGGGGCTAGGATACTAGTTAAAACGAACTTCAACCACAAGGAAATGCTGAACTGAAAGAATTTAATTTTTTGGTAAATGAGTAGCTAAGCATTTCCAGTACATCTAACAGTGACAGGGCTAGGATACTAGTTAAAACAAACTTCAACCACAAGCAAATGCTGAACTGAAAGAATTTAATTTTTTGGTAATACTGACAATGCTTACAGAGAGAAGCATAAACAAGATCATCACTCTGTAGGGGGAAGAACTGCAAAAACTGTAAACAAACATGCTCTGTACTGCGCTCAGGGAGAGATGAGATACAAAATCTCACCGGCTTTGAAGGCAGGAAATTGTCACCTCTAACATTTTTCTTTCCCTGTTCACATCATGCTGTGTTACGGTGGGAATTTCACCACTTCTCCATCTAACAGAATGAAACACCTTTTAGTTGTGCAATTTTTTACTAACACTGCCAATAATTCTCAGTCTTTTTGACAATAAAACAAAGTTAAAGCAAAATAAACACCACTCCCACATTGAGAATCCTGGACCAGGAATGTTTTTCACACAGTATTGCAGGCCTCTGGAAAGAAACAGCCAAGGAAGTCATTCCTCCAGCTCCTCCTGATGGCAAACGATACACACAGCACCCTAACAAGGGATTGGGATGAGAATGTTGATGACATCATAGAGCCACCATATGTCAAATGCCATAATAATGAAGACCTAAGCACATGACCAAAACAGGGTTTGGTGAAAGCCAACACCTGATTTGATCAAACGCTATGATCAGTGGAGGAGCAGACGTAAATGCACAGGCAGCCTTCCCCTGGTCTGTGACACAGAAACTTTGAGCTGAGCACCAGTTGAGGCCAATGGCTCCGGTTTAAGCTTACTAATTGACTTAGCTAAGGAAAAACAGAGAATGACACCTATAGAACAGAGGAGGGATGTTAACAGCGAGGCGTGATTAGGCTGTCAGGCCCCACAAGACAGAAGGGAGATTGTTAAGGCAGCCAAGGATATAAGGTATGAAAATGACTGAACATGCAGAGGGTGACTGCCACTTACATATTCATCAGCTCAAGAATTAATATCGCTGCCTGGGTTCCCTTTTCTCTCAAGAAAAAAACAAAAAAGAAAGAAATCCAAATGATGATGAACAGAGAGAAAGCACGTAGAAAAAAACCAAAACAAAACACACACAGATATCCTACAAGTATCAAACACTTTATTTTTTAAAGAAACTACAGCAGTATACATGATTACAGAATTATGAAGCACTGTAAAGCAAAAGGAATGAAATGGCCTGGATGCAAGCAGTAATGATCTCACACTTTGTCTTTCGCACCACCATCACTCAGAAAAATTACATTATCTGAAAAGAAATAAAGAAAATTTAATCTTCAGGATTGTTTTACCCTTTTGAAATCCTGCACACCCATAAAGACAACCTATTTGTGTTAAAATAACCTGCAAAGATGTGTATTTCAGAACAGAACAGTTCATAAAATAAAACAGTGTCCAATACAGAGTTCTTGCTCTATCTCCCCAGAAAGCTGACAATTCAAGGCAACCATATGAAACAAGTGTGCTAAACCAGATTATCACAGTCAAAGATAACAGAAACATTTTTAAATAACGGTTTTATTATTTGACTTTGATCTCTATCAGTTACAGCTTATTCGCTTTTTATTTTGTCACTTTCAGTATGCACTACCACGTCACCAGCCTATGGGACTACAGGAAGCTTGTATTTCATCAAGCCTCAATAATTTCTCAGTAAAGCATCTTAAGTCTGGGGACACTGAACACGAAGAAGAAATGATTAGGATAAATACTAATTAAAAAAGAGACTTGCTTCTCCCCTCCAGCTATTTATAAACAGTAACCTACAGCACTGCTAGCTGGATGGCTTTCGTGAAAGTTTGACTGCTGTTGTTTTAAAGAGACTGCAGAGCAAACATCCAGAATAGTGGTTGGGGTTTTTTTTCCTGCTCCTCTGGCCCACTTTTTTAGATATACTTGTGTTACAGAAACGTTTGCTCTATTACCCAATTATTTTAGCCCTCCTTCAAAAGCCACAAGTAGTGTCTCTACTCACAGTAAAGATGTAAGATGCTCACACTATTCAAAGGTTCGGGGAAAAAGCTGTTTCCCAGTTCTCTTCATTGTGTCTACATAAGGCTACTCCCGATCCATTCTGTACTCTTCTAAGCACTACTGGCCATCAGACTGAGGTCTTTCTAAATTCTCCATCAGGTTAACCCCACATAAAACATCTTTCACAAACAGGGGTCCTTAAAGTTGGTGACGCCTCCAGACTTAAACAGGAAGGAAAAATTTCCTGACAAACCAAGACAAAGCTACTAAACAAACTCTACTTTGCTTAGAAAAGGAATCTGCCTGACCTGCAATACTACATACTGGTGTCCTCAAAATACACAGAATCTACCTGCTGCACCAACTGGTTTGTGTCAGCAAATGATGCAACAATTTGCAACTCTATGCTCTTATTTGTCTTCGCAAGCAGTGCCAGAGGACATCTAGTGGTACAGCCTGTTTACTGGCTCAAAATCCCCACGTGGGGATTCTGAGGATAAAGATAAACCAAGCTCTATTTCCAAGGTCCTCTGTCCCCTCTCCATTTTCAACAGGCAAGGCAGCCATTGGTATGTTGTTCCTTACCTGCTATAATAGTTGTGGCCTGCCGCCTCACATTGTTTTTATCTGTATATTCACCATAGTCTATCTTCCCTTCAACATAGAGTCGAGAACTGGAAAAAATCAAAAATTTGGTTCTGGTCAGAGAACTGTACGGCTGTTTTCTATATCCAATTCTGAATATGCAGGCTTTTGGCTCACTTGTTTGTATCAGGTCTGCTAACTTATTTTAAGGCACTTCTATCTTAGTATAGCTCCTGGTCACCATAATTATTACATCAATTGATTATTAAGGTATAAAATCCTCAACCACATTTGTTATTCACTTACCCCTTCTTCACATACTGATATGTAACATCCCTGAGGCCCGGTCTGAAGACAGAGATCCTGTGCCATGTTGTCTTCTGACTGATATCACCTAAGTTACATAAAAATGATAAACGTGGATGCCAAATTCTATTTTTCACACAAGTCTTGGAAATTAGTTTCAACGTTGTTGGTGTTCTCAAATTATGAAAAGTGATGTTGTGGATGCCAAATTCTATTTTTGACACGTCTTGGAAATTAGTTTCAACGTGTTGGTGTTCTCAAATTATGAAAAGTGATGTGAAAACAGAAGTATACTAGCATGTGATCTCCCACTCCATACTAGAACTCAATGTTCCACTCATCTGTGTCCAAATGACAGTATCATGCAGGAGCACACCTTGAACCGAGAGATCAGTTTCCCTGGAAGCCAGCGCTCACACTCCTCCCATTCCATACTAGAACTCAATGTTCCACTCATCTATGTCCAAATGACAGTATCGTGCAGGAGCACACCTTGAACCAAGCGATCAGTTTCCCTGGAAGCCAGCGCTCACACTAGGATAATTTTTTTTTCCCCCTCACTCACTCTGCATTGAACAAAAGTTGGAGAAAAAGTGTCACCTATAGCTGCAGATTGATGCAATCAAATAGAAAATACATCATTCTTTTTTTTTCCTCTTGGAACACTGGTAAGAGAATGGAACCTGCTACACTTCTGGCAACCCCAGTAGTGAAAAACTATCAACTCAACGCTCTTTCCTCCAGAGGAAGGTCAACACACAGGTCTTTATTCAGTACTTGCTGCTGGGGATCAGTAAGAGACACACAAATGCACCAGCATCTCTACTGACCTGAAAGGAACTTCCCTGCACCTGAGAGATTCACATGGCAGCCTGAAGACAAAGTGTGGTGCTGCTGAATATGAAACATGACCTCGGAACACGGCAGAAGCACTTTGCTCATTGCAGACTCACCTCCCTGGCTTGACTCACTATCCCCTGTTCGCCACATCTCATTGGTTGCAAGAGAAAATATGGTGACAGGATTTCTTCCCTCCACTTGCCTCATGATAGGGTCCTGTCCAACCCGACCAAGTAACTGAACACGATTCATGGCTGTAACGTGAGAGAGTAAATACACATACAGGTGAATTACGATGCTTCTAATCATGCCAAGTCGTAAGTCTGCAGCTTTTGTCAAGGGCCAGACAATGCCTTTCTGCACCTCCTGACCGTTTTTCAAGCCCTTGTAACTTTTAGCTTATTCAGGCTCTGCAGATGGGTGACTGTGCCTGTACTGTCATGATCACGGCTGAATAAGCTCATTTAGAAAGCTAAAGGTTCCTGATTTTTTCTGTTCCTTTGTCATCTTTTTCACAGACACACCCATATGTCACTTGAGACGATTTTGCATTTACTTTACTTTTATTTTTATTAGTTATGATAAAACCATCGCATTGCATTGTTTTGTCACTAAAACAATGGCTTTAAAACAACAAAGTTGCATTACTACAGCCCATCCTCTGAATTAGAGGGTCACTAGTTTTTATACAGGTACCAGGATCAGGTGGACACGATTTATTCCTTCTCCTTGTTGAAGGACAACTGGAGGAGGTTGTGGAAGCATCACTCTTGCAAATGAGCACCTGAACCGAATGGTGAAGTCTGAAGCAAATCATACTGGGGCAGCAGCACCCAAACAACCGCCCCAGGCACAGGGGAGTCAGAGAAACAAGTGGATAAGGCACCTAAAGGCAGGTATTAGAAAACATGACAATAGCTTACCTGATTCACTACCATTGAAAAAGCACTGGCAACCTGCCTTTTACAGGTTGTACTCCACATCTTGACTTGATAAAGACCAAACAAAAAACTACTTGTTTGAAACAACACATTCTCAGCTACTGCATTCAGGAGTTACTGTTCCTAACTGTTCCTCCCCTGGCATATTTCAGCCATTCCAAAACCAAGAAAAAACCACAAAGACTAACAGCCAAGTTTCATCTCAGGAGCTACTTACATCTTTCGAGTACCAATGAGCTAACTGTATCAGACTCATGTCTTACAAACTGACGCAGCACCTGAAAGAACAGACAGATATTAGTTTCCAAGACCACAAAGCAAGAACAGTGTTCACATGCCTTCACACATCATTTTCCACTTAAGGAGGTTTTGCAAGAACCTTCTTTTCCGGTGACTTATGGGGGGACTAAGGGAAGAAATCCATTCAGTAAATGAAGCCAATAGGATTATTGAAAGATTATTTAGTTAAACTGAGGTTAACATTTTTTCTAGGAAAAAGAATGGCCTGAAGGTACATCTCCAGCAATTATTTTTGGGACATGCAGTAACTACTGTTTTTTCTGTAATACATAATAGAGATGGGTTTAAAGTGGAGGGACTGTTTAGTTGGTTGGACTTTGATTTTTGGAAACAAACACAGTTTTGACAGTTTCATCAATTTTCTGCTTCACTTCAGAGAATAACAAAATGTGCCCAAAATGTCCATCTATCCACCACCATAAGCAGTGATGATGCACTGATAACCCCTCTTTGCCAAGCTAACAGCAAACCAAGGCCACAAAAAGGTGATTGCTGCAGCTAAACACAAGGGAGAAAAAGAAAAGGAACTGACACGATGCTGGCAGTAAAATACCACGTCCTAGAAGAAAGGAGAAAAGCAAAACCCGGGAACACCTCTGCAAGAGGCCCGGGCGCAGGAACTGAAAGAAAAGTTCATCTCCTGTAACAAGTGGTTGCCAAACGTAAAGGAAGGCGAGACTGACAGTCCCGTGTGGAACAGAGGAGCTAGACCAGAGCAAACACCACTGGCAGAGCAAAAATTCTTTGGTACGTCCGTAGGGTCCATTGATCTAGATGCAAATCACCTAAGACCCTTTCCACGCATAAGCCAGAACTTCTAACACAGCGTTTCTCCAGCGCTGCGGTGAAGCACCAGCAGTTGTGGCTGCTCCGTGTGGGAAAAGCCGCGGCTGGGCA